AACCGCGGTAGTGGTTCGTGCAGAATGCTCAACTACATGTCCGCGGCGCCTTGAGCGCGGTCCATCGGTCACACATCCCGTCCGTCGGCTCAAACAGCCTGCCGGTGCTCGCCGTCACTGCAGAGTACCGGCAGCAAGCCAGGTTGTGTATTCGCGGGCCTTCGGTTCTCCCATGACGACCCCCCCAACACATTAACTCTGCTCGAGCAACCCAGCAAAGCCTTCACCCGAGGGAGAAAAGCGACGTGTTCATTTCATGCCTCATCATGGACAATTCCTCTAGCTGATGGGCGAGGTGAAACCGAGGCTACGGAAACGGAGCAGGCGCAACACGGCTGGAGAAGCGGGACCGCCAAAAGCGCAGGCATTCCCACAAAGGAGGCTGAAATGGATTTATTGTCACATAGATGGCAAAATCCGCGAGTGTTGGTACCGATTCGGAAGGCAGGTTTGCGTGTGCAGCAACCTGATTCGGAGGCCGGAGCCCGAGCCCGAGCGCCCGCCCCCACGCGTCCGCCGTCCCACACCAACACCCCCTCCCCCCGGACGTGCCCCGCGACCCCGCGGAACTCCCAGGTTAGCCGGTGCTATTGAACGATGATTTTTCGCCCTTCCCGGCGGTGGGGTTTTGCTGATGCGCCGCGGGCTGCCCTTCCACAGGGAGCCCTTTGATTCGGGCGGTTTCGGACCCGCCCGCCCGGCGCACTCACCTCGACGTCGGCTCCACTCCACGGCACAGAGTTCGCGCTATCATGGCGCGCGCGGAGAAGGCGGCGGCACGGCCGGCCGACCGCGTGGCAACGAGCGGGGCCGCTGTCACCGCGGAGCCCCTCCCCCTCGGAAACGCGCCGCGGGCGGACAGCGCATCGGGGGCACCGCACCCGAGCGAAGTCGACCATTGCATGCGCCATGGCATGACGTTGGACCAGCTGCTGCACGACCACCACCCCGCCCCACCCACCGAGCCGGTTCTGAAGGAGAGCGAGTTCGAGTATATCCTCAACAACGTGCAGAGCAACAGGCTCACCATCCGGGAGACGGGCTGCTTCTTGCATGATTTCCTCATTCACCGCTTCCGGCGCGCGAGCCCCGAGTTTCTGAACCCGAACTCTGCCATCATCAGCGCGGGCCCCGGCGGGATCAACGCCCTCGTCATCGCCATGTGCGCAAACGGGTACTTGACGCTGGCAAATGCGCCGGACTGCCCCAGCGGCAAACTTGTACGGGCGCTGCTCAGAGTTGGCAGCTTGTACGCCAGGAAGCCAGTCAAAGCAAGGACCCTCAACACAAGGAGTACGTCTCGCGCCGAAGCGCATCGATCCGGGCTCGAATCCTCATTTGTCGTCCCTCCAGAGTGGTGCCCCTGCCCGATTACGTCGTCCGAGGGCAAGAAGGGGCCCTGCCCAAAGGTGGGCCAACAACTCGTTCAACAGTAGCTTTGTTTGCTGACGAACTTATCGGCAGGTCAACCACTACGAAATCGAGTATGCCCGAATGGAGCTGGTTCTTTTCCTCGTAGCGGCCAAGAACGAAGGAACAGTGTTTGACGGTGAGGCATTGGCGCTTGCAGCGCACGCACGGAGCGCCGCCAACACGACCTGCCCGCCGCGCACTCCCCAGTGATCATCATCATGTCTGAAGCTCCCTTCGCCCTCTTCGGCCTCGCCGACGATGCCAAGCTGTGCGACGTCGTCGAAAGCTCTCCGGCAATGCTTCTGGTGAGCCGCCATTCACAACGTTTGCGCGTGTGCTGATGCCGGCCTACAATCCTGACTACAGAACACTCCGGAGCTCGAATTCGCTGGCTATTTGGACGTTCCCGGGGTCATCAGCATCCACCCGGCCAAGCTAGAGGGCAGCGTGGCCTGTTTGAACCTCCCGAGCGGCATGGACACGACTGAGAAGCACAAGACGATCGTGCTCGCGCAGGGCAAGGCCAACCTGCAGGCGGTACGCGGCATGAAGCAGGCCATGGAATGGGTGACTGGATGCAAGGTGCGCACGTGACCTTAAGCTTCATTACTGTCGGTCCTTGTCAACTTATCCACCGCAGTCGTTAAACACCGAGCAGCACGGCTACGAGATGCTCCGGGAAAACGTCAACCTCCCGCTCTCGTACGAGCAGCTGCTAAAGGAAGGCGACGGAATCGATTTCGGAAAGCTACACAAGGACATGAGCACACGCCGGGTAAGGTTTTGGCGTCGTTGGTGCACGCGTTGCTGAATGACGATCGGCTGGTCGGGGGCAGGCGAACACCATTGTGCACGTCGAACGCTTTGAGGACGGCACGGAGATGCCCGTCACCCGAGCCCAGCTCGACCTGCATAAGGCGCGGAACTCGGACAAGGGGAGGCGGTCCAATCAGCACAAGGTGGGTCGTGCTGCAGCGTGGTCTATGCGGCTCAACGCTAACGACCGCCGCGCATTGCAGATGAACCGCGTCGTTGAAGCGGAAAATTCGTTCACTGGACAGGTCGAGACCATGAAGAATGCCCGGAAACTGGGGTTGCAGAGGGGCCAGGCCCGTGAGTTCCATAGTCAGCCGAACGCAACCACTGAGGCTAACCCGGAGTGCTCGTTGCAGTCGGCAAGGACAAGGACGCGGCCAGGAAGAGGGCGCAGACCCAGAAGGGCCAGGTGCAGCTCTCGATCAACCATCTGCTCACGACTCTGGATGCCCTGGCATTGAAGCACCCCGGCCACCGGTTTCCCACATCCACGCTTGTTCAGTGCGGCTCTCTTGAGAAAGGCGGCACATGCGAGCTGACTGCGAGTCATCTGGCGCACGTGTTTGTCGACTCGGACAACCGGCTAGCTGGTGCATCGTTTGCCGATCCAAGCCGTGAGGGGCCAATGCTGGCGGTCATTGAGTCCACGCACAAGCACGTGCATGAGCTAGATGCTGGCACGGAGACCAGTCCGCCGAAACGGAAGCGAAAGGAGCCGGAAGTTCGCCTGCGGCGACGAAAGGGGACCTCTCGGCGTGAGAGCGCAAACGATTTCGTGTCGCTGGACGGCATCCCGGATGCCGTCCCCGGCTTGTACGGATACGTCGTCAAGGTCAAGAAGCAGCGTCTGGCTAAGGCCATGAAGTTGGCAAAACTGATTGACGACAACACGGAGGTCGGCGAGGACTCGTACACCATGGTACAGCAGCGCAAGAAGGCCGCAGCGGAGGCCGCTGCCGAAGCCCAGCGCGAGGCGAAGCTGGCACCGAAGAAGAGGGGCCGGCCCAGGGAAGAGGTGGATCCGAACCCGGGCGCTGGCGTCTTGGACAACGAGAACGGCGCTTCGGGCGGGGAGATCAAGGAGGTTGAGCGGAGCAAGGCGAAGCGTGCGAAGCACGGGTGAGGAAGCACGGGTACATGGCATTCAGCAAACGCGGGTGGACTCGAGGGCATGGTGCCCCTTGATGATCGGAGCTTATTGAGTCACGGTATCTCGGTCCAATTGTTGATTGTTCATTAATGATGTAGACGCGAAGATTGATTGATATGATTAATCGATTCGTCGATTCGTCATCTAGTCCTCGATCCGTCATCCAAGGGGTGTTGCTTTCTCCGAGGGGCGGAGGTCCCCGGGAATTTGCATTTCCAGCTATGTCCCGAGCGTTGGCAACTTTGATTTATCGGCATAGCGCGTGGGTGGGTTTAGGCGAGTTGCGGTTGACCGTCAAAAATGATGGCGATGCTTAGTAGTGAGCGTATGGACCCAAAGCTTGCCCGCCCGCGGCACCTGAAACCGAATCCACAACGCCATTCGCAATCAATCCTGCGAATGCTGCACCGAATGCGGGCGGCAGACCCCATTGTGCCCGAGCTTCGGCGCCACTGGTTGAGCGGCAGCTTCATTGAGTTTCCATCCTTTCGAAACTGACGTCAGGCCAGCGCGCCCAGTGACGCCGACATCGCCGAACCGACGCCCGCTCGCGGGCAACTTCAAACGAAAGGTTGCTTGGATTGAAAGAAGGCGTCCACGGATAAAAAGGATGGGAAACCGCGTCCGGCAGCCCAGTCGCCAGGTGCTCGGTCGGCTTGCTTGCCCACGCTGGTGTGACGAGGCCAGATGCATCCGCCGCAGTAGCAAATCGCGACGAAGATCGCCAAAAAAGTTGGCAACTCGGCTTTCACGGCATCCTCGACCGGTTCAGCGTGCCCAATAGTACCGGGGATCCCTCCTCGTCCGGTCCAGCACGCAGTCTTTCAAAAGCCGACACGCCGTCCAGAGGCAGTCCATAGACCACCAAACAAGCTCGTCCCGTCAGAACGCCCAGTCTCCTCAATTGAGTGCGGTGCGGTGCGGTCACGTTCATGGTGCCAACGGGTGCGTTGCAGCGCGCTCCCCGGCCACGGAAGAGCTTCTAGCGCTCCAACCATCGGTCCAGCAACTCTCACGTACTCTATGGCGCGGTCTCCGGCGAGATTCGGCGGCCAGAGGCGGTGTCACCTCGAGGCGATGGGCTGCAAAAAATAAGGAGGCAGGACGCATCGGCGCCGGCGTCGGAACCCGCGCACCCGCCGCCCGCCGCCCGCGCCCGCCGCGCCCGCGCCCGCGCCGGCACGAGCGCCCCCTTTCCCGGTCTGGTTGCCGAGGCCGGGCCGCGCCATCGTCCGGGGACCGGGGTCGGTCGAGTCACCGACAACAAGCGAACAAAGGACGCCTCCCAAACATCGAACCGGCGCTCATCAGTACATCAGTACATCTCTTGCAGAGAATGAACATGATTAGCTGCGAAAGGATGCGGCCGGCGGGCCACCCACGAGGCTCGTCGTGCTCGCTCAGCCGGCTGAGGTGCAGATCGGTCACACCCACCTTGACGGCTCTCGCCCCATAATAGTGAAGCGAAGTTGCCATCAAAACTCCACAGATCTTGATTCCATGGTTCGAAGACTAGAGGGAAAGCGGCGGAGAAGGGAATTTGAACATGGAAAACGCGACGAATCGAGCGACCGGACGTGGGAGCTCTCTGTAGGACCTTCCACCGGGATTATGAATGTCAGGGGAAGTCGGATAGCGGCCAATTCCGCCAGTTTAAGGATTCCCTCCTTCAGGGAAGTCGTCCACTGGTCCCGAAAGGGGCGTGGGTTCGAATCCCACCTTCCTCAACTAGTGCATTCCACTCTTTTGTCCCTCTGAATGCTATTCTGTTCCACTCCAAGGGCACTGCACATCCGTTCCCTGCAGCAATAAGCTTTTCTGTTGCTGCCCAGCCGTGCCGCCAGCCCAACAGACAGGGATGGAACGGTATTTGCGTCACCAATACATCTGATTCCTGATGCTGACCATCTATGGGATCTGGAGCCTCAAGGAGCGTGGGATACGAATCCCACCTTCCTCGCGCGGGATACGAATCCCACCTTCCTCAACTAGTGCATTCCACTCTTTTGTCCCTCTGAATGCTATTCTGTTCCACTCCAAGGGCACTGCACATCCGTTCCCTGCAGCAATAAGCTTTTCTGTTGCTGCCCAGCCGTGCCGCCAGCCCAACAGACAGGGATGGAACGGTATTTGCGTCACCAATACATCTGATTCCTGATGCTGACCATCTATGGGATCTGGAGCCTCAAGGAGCGTGGGATACGAATCCCACCTTCCTCGCGCGGGATACGAATCCCACCTTCCTCAACTAGTGCATTCCACTCTTTTGTCCCTCTGAATGCTATTCTGTTCCATTCCAAGCGCACTGCACCATCCGTTCGGCAGCAAGCTTTTCAGGGTGCCCGGCCGTCGCATGAGCTGAACTCCATCACGGGCTTCCTTTCAAAGTCCACAAAGGACATGGAAGTCCGGGGAATTGAAAGTGATGCACAACAAGTAAGGACAAGCTTTTGTAAGTGGCAGCACAGTAGAGGTGCCACAGCAATCGCAACGGCACGGTACGGTGTGCTAGGGTCTGTCTGTGCTGCTCACCAGTTGTGCTGTTGGACTGTGTCGTGCTCCATTGCCTTCCTAAGCAAGCTGCTCATGCTGACCATCTCTGGATCCTCAAGGAGCGTGGGTTCCGAATCCCACCTTCCTCAACTAGTGCATTCCACTCTTTTGTCCCTCTGAATGCTATTCTGTTCCATTCCAAGCGCACTGCACCATCCGTTCGGCAGCAAGCTTTTCAGGGTGCCCGGCCGTCGCATGAGCTGAACTCCATCACGGGCTTCCTTTCAAAGTCCACAAAGGACATGGAAGTCCGGGGAATTGAAAGTGATGCACAACAAGTAAGGACAAGCTTTTGTAAGTGGCAGCACAGTAGAGGTGCCACAGCAATCGCAACGGCACGGTACGGTGTGCTAGGGTCTGTCTGTGCTGCTCACCAGTTGTGCTGTTGGACTGTGTCGTGCTCCATTGCCTTCCTAAGCAAGCTGCTCATGCTGACCATCTCTGGATCCTCAAGGAGCGTGGGTTCCGAATCCCACCTTCCTCAACTAGTGCATTCCACTCTTTTGTCCCTCTGAATGCTATTCTGTTCCATTCCAAGCGCACTGCACCATCCGTTCGGCAGCAAGCTTTTCAGGGTGCCCGGCCGTCGCATGAGCTGAACTCCATCACGGGCTTCCTTTCAAAGTCCACAAAGGACATGGAAGTCCGGGGAATTGAAAGTGATGCACAACAAGTAAGGACAAGCTTTTGTAAGTGGCAGCACAGTAGAGGTGCCACAGCAATCGCAACGGCACGGTACGGTGTGCTAGGGTCTGTCTGTGCTGCTCACCAGTTGTGCTGTTGGACTGTGTCGTGCTCCATTGCCTTCCTAAGCAAGCTGCTCATGCTGACCATCTCTGGATCCTCAAGGAGCGTGGGTTCCGAATCCCACCTTCCTCAACTAGTGCATTCCACTCTTTTGTCCCTCTGAATGCTATTCTGTTCCATTCCAAGCGCACTGCACCATCCGTTCGGCAGCAAGCTTTTCAGGGTGCCCGGCCGTCGCATGAGCTGAACTCCATCACGGGCTTCCTTTCAAAGTCCACAAAGGACATGGAAGTCCGGGGAATTGAAAGTGATGCACAACAAGTAAGGACAAGCTTTTGTAAGTGGCAGCACAGTAGAGGTGCCACAGCAATCGCAACGGCACGGTACGGTGTGCTAGGGTCTGTCTGTGCTGCTCACCAGTTGTGCTGTTGGACTGTGTCGTGCTCCATTGCCTTCCTAAGCAAGCTGCTCATGCTGACCATCTCTGGATCCTCAAGGAGCGTGGGTTCCGAATCCCACCTTCCTCAACTAGTGCATTCCACTCTTTTGTCCCTCTGAATGCTATTCTGTTCCATTCCAAGCGCACTGCACCATCCGTTCGGCAGCAAGCTTTTCAGGGTGCCCGGCCGTCGCATGAGCTGAACTCCATCACGGGCTTCCTTTCAAAGTCCACAAAGGACATGGAAGTCCGGGGAATTGAAAGTGATGCACAACAAGTAAGGACAAGCTTTTGTAAGTGGCAGCACAGTAGAGGTGCCACAGCAATCGCAACGGCACGGTACGGTGTGCTAGGGTCTGTCTGTGCTGCTCACCAGTTGTGCTGTTGGACTGTGTCGTGCTCCATTGCCTTCCTAAGCAAGCTGCTCATGCTGACCATCTCTGGATCCTCAAGGAGCGTGGGTTCCGAATCCCACCTTCCTCAACTAGTGCATTCCACTCTTTTGTCCCTCTGAATGCTATTCTGTTCCATTCCAAGCGCACTGCACCATCCGTTCGGCAGCAAGCTTTTCAGGGTGCCCGGCCGTCGCATGAGCTGAACTCCATCACGGGCTTCCTTTCAAAGTCCACAAAGGACATGGAAGTCCGGGGAATTGAAAGTGATGCACAACAAGTAAGGACAAGCTTTTGTAAGTGGCAGCACAGTAGAGGTGCCACAGCAATCGCAACGGCACGGTACGGTGTGCTAGGGTCTGTCTGTGCTGCTCACCAGTTGTGCTGTTGGACTGTGTCGTGCTCCATTGCCTTCCTAAGCAAGCTGCTCATGCTGACCATCTCTGGATCCTCAAGGAGCGTGGGTTCCGAATCCCACCTTCCTCAACTAGTGCATTCCACTCTTTTGTCCCTCTGAATGCTATTCTGTTCCATTCCAAGCGCACTGCACCATCCGTTCGGCAGCAAGCTTTTCAGGGTGCCCGGCCGTCGCATGAGCTGAACTCCATCACGGGCTTCCTTTCAAAGTCCACAAAGGACATGGAAGTCCGGGGAATTGAAAGTGATGCACAACAAGTAAGGACAAGCTTTTGTAAGTGGCAGCACAGTAGAGGTGCCACAGCAATCGCAACGGCACGGTACGGTGTGCTAGGGTCTGTCTGTGCTGCTCACCAGTTGTGCTGTTGGACTGTGTCGTGCTCCATTGCCTTCCTAAGCAAGCTGCTCATGCTGACCATCTCTGGATCCTCAAGGAGCGTGGGTTCCGAATCCCACCTTCCTCAACTAGTGCATTCCACTCTTTTGTCCCTCTGAATGCTATTCTGTTCCATTCCAAGCGCACTGCACCATCCGTTCGGCAGCAAGCTTTTCAGGGTGCCCGGCCGTCGCATGAGCTGAACTCCATCACGGGCTTCCTTTCAAAGTCCACAAAGGACATGGAAGTCCGGGGAATTGAAAGTGATGCACAACAAGTAAGGACAAGCTTTTGTAAGTGGCAGCACAGTAGAGGTGCCACAGCAATCGCAACGGCACGGTACGGTGTGCTAGGGTCTGTCTGTGCTGCTCACCAGTTGTGCTGTTGGACTGTGTCGTGCTCCATGCACCCTTACATGGGTAGAGCTGCGGTGCATGGCTTCAGAATGCCTTCCTAAGCAAGCTGCTCATGCTGACCATCTCTGGATCCTCAAAGAGCGTGGGTTCCGAACCCCACCTTCCTCAACTAGTGCATTCCACTCTTTTGTCCCTCTGAATGCTATTCTGTTCCACTCCAAGGGCACTGCACATCCGTTCCCTGCAGCAATAAGCTTTTCTGTTGCTGCCCAGCCGTGCCGCCAGCCCAACAGACAGGGATGGAACGGTATTTGCGTCACCAATACATCTGATTCCTGATGCTGACCATCTATGGGATCTGGAGCCTCAACGAGCATGGGATACGAATCCCACCTTCCTCGCGCGGGATACGAATCCCACCTTCCTCAACTAGTGCATTCCACTCTTTTGTCCCTCTGAATGCTATTCTGTTCCACTCCAAGCGCACTGCACATCCGTTCCCTGCAGCAATAAGCTTTTCTGTTGCTGCCCAGCCGTGCCGCCAGCCCAACAGACAGCAATGGAACGGCATTTGCGTCACCAATACATCTGATTCCTGATGCTGACCATCTATGGGATCTGGAGCCTCAAGGAGCGTGGGATACGAATCCCACCTTCCTCAACTAGTGCATTCCACTCTTTTGTCCCTCTGAATGCTGTTCTGTTCCACTCCAAGGGCACTGCACATCCGTTCCCTGCAGCAATAAGCTTTTCTGTTGCTGCCCAGCCGTGCCGCCAGCCCAACAGACAGGGATGGAACGGTATTTGCGTCACCAATACATCTGATTCCTGATGCTGACCATCTATGGGATCTGGAGCCTCAACGAGCATGGGATACGAATCCCACCTTCCTCGCGCGGGATACGAATCCCACCTTCCTCAACTAGTGCATTCCACTCTTTTGTCCCTCTGAATGCTATTCTGTTCCACTCCAAGGGCACTGCACATCCGTTCCCTGCAGCAATAAGCTTTTCTGTTGCTGCCCAGCCGTGCCGCCAGCCCAACAGACAGGGATGGAACGGCATTTGCGTCACCAATACATCTGATTCCTGATGCTGACCATCTATGGGATCTGGAGCCTCAACGAGCATGGGATACGAATCCCACCTTCCTCGCGCGGGATACGAATCCTACCTTCCTCAACTAGTGCATTCCACTCTTTTGTCCCTCTGAATGCTATTCTGTTCCACTCCAAGGGCACTGCACATCCGTTCCCTGCAGCAATAAGCTTTTCTGTTGCTGCCCAGCCGTGCCGCCAGCCCAACAGACAGGGATGGAACGGTATTTGCGTCACCAATACATCTGATTCCTGATGCTGACCATCTATGGGATCTGGAGCCTCAAGGAGCGTGGGATACGAATCCCACCTTCCTCATGCTGGATGCCCTCTGCTCTTTTGCCCCTCTGA